TGCTGGACCTCTTAATTATTTTGAACAATCAAGGTCATGTCAAGGTCACCCTTAATTACTTAAATAGAAATCCCCATTTTTTACTGCATATTCGTATAATTTACTTCGATGACTTTTCAAAACACTATATAAAATATTTTTTTATTCAATACTCTTTGAATTATAATGCTTGACATTTACAGTATTTTGATATAAAATACAAAATATTTTGTAAAGCATTCAATTTTCGGTAATTTTACCTTAATACTTTTATACAGAATAATAAGACTAATCAATTGGTGTAAAAAAAACAGTTCAAAACGAGTAAGTAATTTGTAACATTTTTTAAAAGCAATTAGTGTTCTTTATACGAATGTATTGGTTTTATTATTTGTGCATAAAAGTATTGAGGTAAGATTATCAAAAACTGAATGTTTCACAAAATATTTTGTATTTTATGTCAAAATACTGTAAACTTCAAGTCTCATAACTCAAAAAGTACTTAATAAAAAAATACTTTATTATAGCGTTTTGAAAAGTTTTCGAGATAAGTTACAAAAATATGCATTGAAAAATAGGAGTTTACATTTAAGAAATTGAAAATGACCTTTACATGATCTTGATAATGCTATTCAAGGTCATAATATTGCTATGTAATACATCATTTAAAACTACAAGTTTTGTATAAAACACATTTTCAGAAATATGTATTGTTCAAAATAATTAAGAGATCTGAGACTTTTTACACCTTGTACATGTAGCATAAATTACATACCTGTAAATAAAATGCTACTATTCTCACTTTTCTGATCGGGAAGAAAAATAAGATTGGTATGACAAGCTCGATATTGTTTGTGGCAACAGTGCTTAATCGAAGGAACCAAGCTGGCAAGTGATGTGCGTACCATGCCAGAGGAGTAGGTATACATTGAGATTCAAAGTGAATATTTAGAGCTGCAAAAAACATAGTAAAATATCTCTTAAATAATGTATAACATTATTCTTACATATTGGAATTTATGAAAATCATCTTACCATCTAATTTCCACCACAGTGGACAATCTGAAGTAAATTTTACCACTCCACTAGCAAACATTAAACGAAAGAGTAGCCAGCGCACAGTCCAGAATGTCACAGCATCGCTCGGAGTGCTTGGTTTTCCACGCTGAGGGTACCAAAATGGTGCTACAAGTATACATAGGAATCCAACTTCCAATAATAAAATATCCCTGTATAAATTTAAAAAAAACATTTAGTAAATTAAGCAATTATTCATACTTAAGTAAATAAATTAAATGTAAATATTATAAAATACATAAATACATAGTTTACAAGTATTAGAATTTGTGGTATTAGAATGTAATAGTTGGAAATATTACAGTATATAGTTAAAACTTACCACTGAAACCACATAAATGTTTGACCAATCTGATATAAAGAATAATACAAGGTCCATAGACCTGCAAATATCGGCGCAATGCAAAATCTTTGAGAAATAAATCTGTAATCAAAGGATTAATAAATTTATATTATAATTTTGTACTATGTTCTATATTTTTCAATGTTTTAATCTTGTACTTTTATTTAACGTAACAACAAACCCTGCAAAGGAGAGCACAGTTCCAAGGAGAGATAGTATGTCCAGCATGTATTCTACATTTAAGCCTAGATACGGAGCAAACCATAACAATGTTGGCTTCTGCTTCAGTTTATTAAATATTGTTGCGCGTGCTTTGAGATCCACCTGCGTTCTGGCTGGCAAGATTCCATTATCACCATACAATCCTAGATTTTATAATTAATTAATAATAGTAATTGTATATTATTTTACATTACATCTTGATTTTTTAAAAATAGATTTGTACATTCTGCAATAAAACTTATACATAAAATTAAAATTTTAATTATAAATATATATACGTATATATATAATTAAAATTTCAATATATATATGCATTTTGTGTGTAATATCAACATATCTTGAATTAATAAATAAAAAAACTGCATTAGAAAATAAACGAGCCAAATATATAAAATACTTACCTGGGATCTGTATGTAAAAGCTGAGGAATGCAAACAGGTATATAATGCAAATTCCACGTAGGAATAAATTCCGGGTGTAGCGTACCTGCGCCATAATCGGCGTCGGCTACGAAAGCGGATTTCGTTTTATGTTAAAAAGTTAGATATTTATTAATTTAATCGCAATAACGTGCGACTAAACTACCGGCGACAAACGCGAAACGCGCGCACAACACACATAACACACACACACACACACACACACACCACACATACACCTATATATATATATATATATATAATACACGTCGACCTCTCGGCGATTTTCGACGTATGTATCTTGCGAACGTGTGAATATATATATGTATATATATGGCGTATGTATATATTATGTGCGATACGTGTGTGATATTTTATATATATATATATATATATATATATGACGATCAAGAAAATGTATATATATGTATATATGTATATGTGTATGTATACAATATACAATATATATACGTAAACAGAGTGAGGGTGCGATTACATGGACGCGCGGAAACGCGGAAACGCGGAAGAGAAAGTAACTAAACTTTACTAGAGTCCCGCATTTCCGCGCGTTCCGTTTCGTCTGTTTTGATTGCCTTATATTACATGGAGCACATTTTGAGCGGAAAAGCGGAACGGTATAAGTGACAAATAGACATTTGTATTAATTTTTAAATTTATATTTACTTAATTCATTGTAATTCCTTTAATATGTTCATCTTTTCAACTTATCATATTGTAATACAAGCATTTTAATCAATAAATATAACAAAATTAAACAAATCATATATAGTAGGCCAACTGAACGAGCAAATAAATAAGGTGTAAAAATTTTATTAATAGTTAAATAATTAAATTAACATTCCGTTACAGAATCGATATAAATTGTAAACGTTTCGACTGCACTACAGTCTTTATCAATACATAAAAGTTAAATATTAAATACAAAGTTAAATGTTAAAAATACAAAGTTAGTTAAATATTAAAATATAAAATTGAAACGATTCTTCGCTGTTGACCAATAGATATGCAAGGCGATTGGTCTGAGATGCCAAGTTATGCGACATTTGAGCATGCTACGGATATAATACGCGAATTAAATCAATGTCAGAGAAAATTAAAAAACTTTCAACTTACTTATCGTTTTAACAAGTCCTTTTCCCCGATATTTCAAGTGTGTGTTGCGAAGTCTGAATACCAAATGTCAAAATAGAGAGCGTGATGTATTTATTTATTACCATGTTTTTTTCTAAATTATGATTCAGCAAATTTTTTAAGTATGTCAAAATAACTACTGTCTAACAATTCGGTGTCTGTATTTAAATTAATTCCATTTTTCTGTTCTTTAATGTGGATCATTTCAGATATTAGTCTTTTATGGTAGTTCTTTTCTGATCCATAATTTTAATATTGTCCCAGTCAAATGTATGTTTTTCGTTTAGAATGTGTTCTGTGACAACCGAATGTCTAGCAGAGTCTAATTTAATATTATTTTATGTTCTTTAAGTCTCGTTCCTACTGTCTTTTTGTCTGTCCGACATATGTGTTAATTTAATTATTTAACTATTAATAAAAATTTTACAACCTTATTTATTTGCTCGTTCAGTTTGCCTACTATATATGATTTTTTTAATTTTGTTAAATTATACGAGCCTTTCATTAATTAATTTCAATAAATATAGTTAAATATTAATATTTTATAAT